CCCCCTTACCCGCCACCAGCACTTTGGCCGCCCGGCTGACGACGGCGCCGAGGTCCCCCAGGGCCGCCTGGCACTGGTAAATCCCTTCGTCCGGTTTGTGGTGCCGCGAGTGGACGACGTTCCGGATCACCAGGGAGCCGTTGGGAAGCTGCTGGAGCCGCTCGTCGGCTCCCGGCCGCAGGAAGACGGAATCCTTCTTCCAGCGGATCTCGGGAATTCCCAGGGCGGAGCCGGCGGCGCAGTGGAGGGCGACGGAGCCGCCGCGGACGGCGACGGAGTCCGAGGGTTCCGTCAGGAAGCGGAGGGAGGCGAAGGGGGGGGAGAAGGGGAGGATTCCCACAAAATTCCCACGAAATTCCCCCGAAAGTTCCTACAGGATTCCCCAAAAATTCCTACGGAATTCTCAAAAAATTCCCACCAAAATTCCTACAGAATTCTCAAAAAATTCCCACGAAATTCTCGCAGAAATTCCCATAAAATTCCCACAAAATTTGCAAAAAATTCCCATTAAATTCCCAGAGAAATTCCCACAAAATTCCCACAAAATTCTCACAGAAATTCCAATAAAATCCCCACAGGAATTCCCATAAAATTCCCCAAAACGTTCCTACAGAATTCCCCAAAAATTCCCACAAAATTCCCACAAAATTTCCATCAGAAATTCCAATAAAATTCCTACAGAAATTCCCATAAAATTCCAAAAAAATTCCAACAAAAATCCACATAAAATTCCCACAGAAATTCCCACAAAATTTCCAGAAAATTCTCACAAAATTCCCAGAAAATTCCTACAGAATTCTCAAAAAATTCCCACAGAAATTCCCATAAAATTCCAAAAAATGCCCACAAAAATTGCCACAAAAATCCCACAAAATTCCCCCAGAATTACCAAAAAATTCCCACAAAAATCCCACAAAATTCCCCAGAAATTCCCCCAAACTTCCCACAAAATTCTCACAGAAATTCCCATGAAATTCCCACACAAACTCCCACAAAATTCCCACAAAATTCCCTCAAAATTCAAAAAAAATCCCACAAAATTCCAACAAAATTCCCACAAAATTCCCATAGAAATTCCCACAGAAATTCCACAAAATTCTCACAGAAATTCCCATGAAATGCCAACAAAATTCCCATAAAATTTCCCACAGAAATTCAAAAAAAATTCCCAGAAAATTCCCAGAAAATTCCCACAGAAATTCCCCCAGACATAAAGAAAAAATTCCCACAGAATTCCCATAAAATTCCAAAAAAATTCCCACAAAAATTCCTACCAAATTTCCGTCAGAAATTCCAATAAAATTCCCACTGAAATTCCCATAAAATTCCAAAAAAATTCCAACAAAAATTCACATAAAATTCCAAAAAAATTCCCACAGAAATTCCACAAAATTCTCACAGAAATTCCCATAAAATTCCCACAAAATTCCTACAGAATTCTCAAAAAATTCCCACAAAAATTCCCA